GGTAAATTCCGATCATCTTGACAATGAAGACGATGTCGGGAATTGTCCAGTGGAATTCCTAAATTCTTTGGAGAGGCTTGGTATGCCGCCGCATCATTTGTGTCTTAAAGTCGGATCTGTCATTATTTGCCATTTCAGTTCAAACTCATTCAGTTATTCAGCTTCCAGGGAAAGTTGCATTTGAAATGACAATCAACAGGACACAATGATAGTCGCCAGAAGCGTGTGGCATAAATCTGGAAATGCCATGTTTTTCACCCGGCCTGCTATACGTGTGTCGTGTTCATAAGTTCGAATTCTGAATTTTTGCTCACGTGCTTTAATGTTTTAAACTAGAGCGCCATGAAATTCGTCACATTCTTCACTTCTATTATGACCAGAAGCAGAAAAGCAAAACGACAAATTTCGAAGGACAGAAGTTTCTATTTCTCCACCCTTTAAGCGAACCATCATCTTGTTAATTGCCGCGCATTCGCCTTCTTTCACTGCATCCAAAACGTGCTGGACTAACTTAAACTTGTCTCTATGTATCTCAAATTGGAGGGGCAAGCTTCGTTTGTTGGTATGAAGTGCTAAAATTTCAGCATGCCATAAAACTTATCACGAAAACTTAGTGTGACAGCGCACAAAAAAGGAAAGTGCTGACAAAGGATGGGGAAGAGCGACACAAACTTTCACGCCATTAGGATTTTGTAATTCAAGAAAATAACGCTAAATTCTATAAAGTGGTGGCACTTTAATCTTGGTTACGTTGGACATTTGGAGAATACCATTTTATTTAAGGGATCAGTAGGGTAATATTTTAAAATTTTTTTGTTTTGCATTTTCTGCTCTCTTATGCCCTTAGAATTAATTTAGTAATCCACTTCACCATTGGAAAGTTTCAAAAATGGCGAAAAAATAATAATACCGTTCGACGTTCGGAGCACTCGGAGTGCACACCTCACACTTTAATCGCGTTTTTCTCAAAAACTCCTTTTTTAAATTGGCGGACATAATTCCGGGCCAACTACTCAACGATTTGTTTATTTTCTTTTAAATGTTCACAAAATGCCTGGCTATTGTCTCTACTATATTCATAATTTTTTATATTTTATTGACAATGCTATGACAAAATTTATGTAAAAGTACATGGGGAAAATTAAAAAAAAAAATGTTAATTACTTTTTATTTATCAAAAATTTTTCATGATTCTAGTAGAGACGATAACCATTCATGTACTTTTTAAGAATAAATAAGGTTTTTGTGTTTAAGATGATCCAAATATGAAAACTCGTGTCCGCCAGTGAAAAAACGCATCTCATTCACCCAGCCATTTTTCCGACAGATGTCTTCAAAAGATTCCGAAAAAATTTGTTCATATACTCCACGATATACCTCATGATATGTGAAAAAAGTTCTATTGTAGAATAAAAATTTCTACGAAAAAAAATCCCGGATTACCCTACCAACAAGTTAATATGATATATTGATTATTATTTTTTTCTGAAATATAAACCAACGTTTCTCTTACTTTTTTTTCAAAGCAAAGATTAGATTCTTTTGAGCACAAAGTAGAGTTTCCTAAACTCTTCGAAAGCTATTCAAATTCCTTAAATCTCGGTAATAGGGGCCATACACGACACACATGTGCGTTCGATCTGTGTGAACTCGTTTCGACCCTATTCGACACACAAATCCATTTTGCGTTCGTCCTTCACACAGTGAACATGTGCCACAGGCAAGCGGAACATTTTTTGGAATTGATTTCTAATGTAACACTTTTATCTATTTCTTTGTTCTTTCGTTAATAAGTTATTCCAACTTTTATTTTTCTCAATTTATTTTTATAAATATCACTTTTCGTTTGCCAAGTTGCTACTTAATTTTTTATAAGATCAATAAATTCTGATACGAAATCTTTATTAATGGGGTATCCTGCTTTAGAAGCTTCAAGCTCGATAGAAAATAGAAATTGCGACCTGCATCCTGCCCGCCGTCCAAAATTGCACATGCGAGATGCATCGGGCAATCGCTTTCCAAAGGCAGAATATCAAAGATTTCGTATCCAAAAAATTTGTGAAAAATGTTCAAATATATAACTATAAATCCTAGAAATTTCACTTGAATCAGTTATTCCTTTCCCTCCCAAAAAAAACTTCAAAAAAATCGATTTTTTGAAGCCTCTAAAGCAGGCTCCCCCCATCATTGTTCGTCCGCGATCTTCACTGTTCGGCGACACGAGAGAAATGTGATTTTGTGCACACACAACGCCATTCACGACACACATGTGCGCACAAGCCCATACACGAGTAAACCGCATGCGCACACATACCGATCGCACGCACTTGTGTGTCGTGTATGTTCACTTTAACTCAAAAGTAGTTTTCTTATTTCCAAAACTAAACTAATAGCACTTTCCTTCTGCTTCATCGTCTCGTGTAGCGCAGCTTTTTTGACATGTAACAAATAGTGCCCTTTGTTGCATGAAATGGCAGATTCCGAGCGCGCGTTAAAGCTTAACTTCTCTTTTATGTGCGTCAGTATGCTTGTAAGTGTAACCGCACGCACACATCCCACATACATGTGGACGCTCTCCTGACATGCTTGTCATTTCATCTTAAAGAACTTGAACCCGAATAATCTCGCAATTCACACGCTGGCGAGCAAATTATAAGTGAAACTTTTGTTTCAAAAAGATAGGGCAGAGAGAGAGAAAGTTAGAAAGGTCGCATGGGGAACATGAATGAGTGAAAACAGCAGAGATTGTCACTTCAGTTAAACTTATCAGGGACCTTATCCTTAATGCTAATAAGTAAATGTTCCGCGCTGACCGAAGTTGTTGCCACTCTATTACCCCTCGAGCACCTAGGCCCTTAAAGGTGTCTCAATTTATTGGCTCGCGAACAGCGCCGTTATGTTGTGAAAACTTTGTACAACAATCGATAGTTGTTTACAGCTATGTTGCCTTGTTTTTTGTGGCTGCTGCTGCTGCTGCTGATGTTATTGCTGTTGACCCAAGAGTACAGAGCTTTTCCTACACTTGGTATTGTTTTGGGTGCATTTGCTTGATTAGAAGGCAAATGTAGCTTGAAGTGATAGTTGCAAAACTATTACTTGCTACTTTTTACGAATTTATATAATACATATATTTGGAAAGCGCTTACTTCCTGAAAAGGTTACGTCAAAATAGTTTGGTATAAAAAATGATGACACTTTCCCAGAAAACTGATAGTCCGGCTAATAAATTAAAGCCTACTTTTAGGAGTAGGCACATTTTTAATACAATTTTGTGAAGATCGCAATAAATCAAAATTTTTATTCTGGCGAAAAAGGGTGCTTCGTTAATACTAAAAATTGCCAATATCCGGATTAACATAATGAGTTGCATTGCTATATGTGACTGTCCATGACCACTCTGGTTACTTAACGTTCACACTTCCATATGTGCGAACACTTACACACAGCACCCATTTCCTTAGCCCCTTGGTGTAGATACAAGTGTGCAGGTACAAATAACCGGAAATTACCATATTAACTGTGCTTCCTGCAGAATTAATTAGACTTCCGTTGAGTACCAAAGGAAAAGGCAACAACACCTATAACACATGGTTATTGAGCCAGTCGAATGTCGAGCCACTCAGCCGACAGTCGCGTGGGGGCAACTTAAGCATGAATGAGCCAAATGAAAGGCCTACAAAAGTGGGCAAAAAGCGTTGACCAGAATTGTGTGTTGTAAGCAGGTGAATGTGTTTAATTTTTGCTTTGGAAATGAAGAGCAGCCACTAATATGCCCTTTACCATTTCTCCAGGGGGGAAAATGTGCGAAGATTTCAGTAGGCAGCAGTAAGCGACAAACAATACTTGACCAGTTCGTATGTGTGCATATTTTTGTGTGCTCTGCTTTATGTGTCATGTGTTAGAAATGATGTGACTTTTTGCTGTCATCATTATTCATTGTGCACTGTGTGGAGCTATGAATACGAAAGAATCGGGGAATTAAACGCGAGTGATCCGGAAAGTCTGATTTTCTGGTGAACATGTGTGAGATGACCGTCGACATCGCTACTGTCTCCATGCTAATTCTTACAGTATATACAGGGTTTGTTCGGAAAGTAATAGGACTGATTTTCTGCCACCGCGACTGCAACGAATGAGCTGCTGGTCAGTTGTCTCCGAGCACCCGGAGAGTCAGGCCAAACATTTTCGGCCGACGTGTTTCTGTGAGTGGTGCAAGCTGAAAATGCAGTGTTCGTTAGAGCAGAGGTACGGGTTAAATCCTGTGTGAAACTCGGTAAATTTGCGACAGAGACGTTTGATGTGATCAAGCAGGATTACCCAGATGTTATTTTAGCAAGAAGTGGAGTATTTCAGTGGCACCAGGCCTTTCTGGAGGGCCGAGAAGAGGTCACTGATGAAGACTGATGAATTTGTTTCTCCTTGACAAACCGTCAACGCCTAGTTTTACATGCAGGTCCTCAAGAGACTCAAACGAGGGATCAATCGGGTCAATTGTAAAGATTGGTTAGATAAATAGTTTTAAATCACTCAGTCCTAATACTTTCCGTACGAGCCTGCTGGTGTTCGTCTGCACTGGAACTCTTTTTTTCTTTGCTTATTTGTGTACCTTTTTGTAAAAATAGAGGGTGTCTAAAATTCGTTGTTCTTTTATACGAACTTCATTAAAAGTTTTGATGTTAAGTCCTGAACATCGGACCATTCAAAATGTATCAAAAAAAATAAAAAAGTTTTCGATTTTTGTTTTGCCTAAAACTTTATCATTTTACATTTTTAAATAGACTCCGTAGTTTTGCAGCAAATTCAACCACTCCCGACCCCAGATCACCAGTAAATAGTTTTTATTTTCATTTTGTTACTTGATCTATCCTTTCCAATTAGCTTCAACTTATTACGAATTTGTTTCAATTTAAAGGACTTCTGCTCTAGTCTACATATATTGCGTGTAAAATTACATAACCTACAACTACTAATAATATGTATTTCTGTCCAATTCGTTGTAGGTTTGGCAATTGATGTCATTGTGATGACGCAATGGATTGCGGCCTTAAGTGGGCGCTCTTCAGTACCAAAACAACACTCGCACTCATTATTGAGGCTGCAGATAAAGCGGCAGCAGCTGCCGAAGCAGAAGCGCCAACGTCAGCAGCAACAGTGGCTTTTACGGCTGCAGCTTCAGAAAAATCACCAACAACTCCAAATAGAATACGAGAAAGACCAAACATTTCCAGAATCCGCCATTGGCCCATTTTTTATACCCGAAAAGTAGGCACATTTGACGCCGCCAAAGGCTACGCCGCAGTTCGTCTCTATAGCACCGTAGGTGGAGTCACAAGCGACGCTGTGGGGTCACGACGTTACAGCCGCGAATGTGCCATCAGATTCAACACTAGCTTGTTTCGCAGAAGCAGGCGAATATAACATAACCTCCCTGCTGCCAACAGCGACGGCATCAAGTCGCCCAAAGTAGAAGCAGGTGAAATAGAAACTAAGGAAAAACAATAACAGAAAACGGGTACAACGACAAATGCTGTTTTAGGAGAACAAACGGAATAAAAACCTAAGATAATGAAACATTGTAAGTACATAGCCGCTATTGTAGATGTGGGAGAGGGCGAACTCATTCAAGGGGAAGAATTGATGATTCTATTTTTTTCGTTCCTTTTCATGTTCTGATTACCAAATTTGTTAGTTTGTTGTGCAATTGTTCGCCTTGAGTAAGATGGAATGATGAAGGTGGTGCCAATGACATAACCTCTTATTTTGGTAGTTCATTGCTTATAAATTTAGTAAATAAGGAGATGCTTTTTGTTTTGCTTTTTGGAATTTGAGAAAGGTTTATCTAATCTCTATAAATATTACAGTTTTTGCATAAAATGAAATGAGGGCATCATTCAAAAAGGGACCAATCAAATTAAGCAAAATGATGGCAAGCAAAGATCTATTGATTGCAAATTAATTACTCCTTCATGGTTCTGGATAGAAACAGTTATTAACTGTTATTTTTTATTTCAACTTTGTGACTGATTATTAACTCTTGTGCTTTGTTAATTGCAGCAAATATTTTTATAAACAAAAATATGATGGAATACGGCTAAAGAGAATCCGATGGATTAAACGCCGAAATCAAAAGAAAAGTGAAGAAAATTCCACAAAAGTATAAAGAATAAAAAACAAATAAATATACATAAAACCATAAATATAAAAAAGTATAACTAACCGAACTATTCTTTTATCTTGCGCGAATTCAATTTAATTTCTGTCTCAAATTGATTCGCAACCTTACCGCGTCTCGTCTTGACTTAAATCAATCCGACTGTATCAATTTGACTCTACTTGAGCGCAAACCACTGAACTTAAATCATTAAATACCACGAACGTTGCTCGCACTTTGTCGACTAGTTCGGTCATAGTGTTGCTACAGCCATAGGGACGCCGCAAACCTGGCGTTTACGCATAAAATTGAACAAAATAAATTCCCCAACGCAGCTGACGTTTAGGTGCGAATTGTGTCAATCAGGGCACAATTGTTCATTTGTGCAGTGGCCATGGAGCCTCCTGGCGGGTTACCGCCGGACCGCGACAGACAACTAGTGCTGCGTCCCCAGCAGCAGGAGCAACAACTGGTACCGTTGGTACCGCAAGTCAAGCCGACCCTAGCACTGAATCTTTACTCCAAGGACCAGGCCGTGTCCTCAACTATTGCCACAACGCTGACTGCAGATGCCTCTACAGAGAATGCCGCTGCCTCATCTACCACATCGATCCGCACCACCAATGCACTTGTGCTTGCGTCCGCGAGTAACGTTGTTAGTGTAATCGCTGCAGGCAACAGTAGCACGGCGACGGCTACAAGTACCAGCCCCGCACTGGCGTTTGCAGCCATAGCGATATCGGGTACTACGCAGGCGGCCACCGCGTTCAGTGGAAGCGCGGTGGGTGTGCAGCACACGCCACATCATCAACACCCGCCTCATCATCATCCACCCCATCCTACGCATCAGATGCATCATCAGCCCCACCATCAGCCACAGGCGTACGGTGCGCATAACTCGTCGGCAACCTCGTCCCTGTTTGGCGGTATCTCGGCCAGCAGCAGCAGCAGCAGCACTTCGGTTGGTGGGCAGCAACAAACCATCGAGAAGTTGGCGCGACCCATGGCTTTCGATAAGGTGAGTGGAAAACATTATTGTAATGATAACTGTTTATGGCATTTTAAATATAAAGAACAAATATATGTATTTATTGCATCGAATTGAATGTTGAGGATCTGAACGAAAGCCTCATATAAAATATATTCACATCAGAAGTGCATTTATGTGAGCAGCGTTAGTTTTTGTTCTTTTTGAAGAAGCGACACGAACATACTTGGATAACGCCATCCTTGTCTTTTCCATCTACATTGCCATCGCTGGACTTCTTTTTCGGGTGATGTATGGGGCAAAATAATTCCATTTCATCATTTCCTTCCTCTTCGGCATTTAACAGTAGATCTAAAGCATTCTCGATAAAGTTGATAGGTTGGTTAGAACTCGCTAAGCTGTATGGGGGCAGCAAGTAGGGACGCGAGACTAAAGCCGTATTGGTAGAGCCTCCCATTAGGGTAGTTGGAGCGATGAACGATCCTGGGTTGCGTAAAAGGTTTAGTTGGGGTTCAAATGGGTTGTACAGGTAATCCATAGCACCTGCCTCTTCAGCACCATCCACAATTGGGCCAATGCTTATGACAGATGTTGTTGGATTGCCGCTTACAGCGAGTTGTGCACCCTGCGCATGCATTGGAATACCATCTGGAAAGAATTGATTCGAGATGGTTTTAATAAATGTAATATTAGTTGCAGGAGAACATAAATTAAGCATCCCTGAGGCTTTAGAGCAAAACCTACTGCTCATAAGAAGTTTCTGATAATGTTTCAGCTATAATTATATATGGGATATCAGAAACTAAGAGTTGATGTTACATAACTTTAAACACAGACTATTTCTATTTTGTATTTTCATGAGGAAATTACAAAAATAAAATCTCTTTCGTTTCCTCTTGATTATACGTGGATTAGAGCTTTAGGAGCGCCCTGACTTTAACTGATGCTTCTATCCCTTTGTTTATTGCAATTCCTTTTAGGTACTTATATATTGCCGATTAAAACTGGTCAATACTTAAGTTTATGAAAACTAATTTGATCTACGTATCTTCCGAATTATTTTTTGAGGAATGAAAATAAAAAGATTTCTCAAAATTGAGTCGGATTGGTATTGTTCTGCTAAATATTGTGTTACAGGGTGATACTGAATGGTCCATGAAAGGAACATGGAAATTGATTTAATTGATTTCCTCACCGACTCCCATTTTATAAAGCATCATATTTGCGAACTTGAGAAAGCTTTCCATCGGCAGCATTTTCCCGTTGGAATGTTTATCGAATTGCCCTTGCTGTTGGTGTGGTGTTGCCAATGCGGTCGCTTGCTGTACATTGTGTGTGTCTCCAACCGCCACTGATTTGTCGTTTTCGTGCTTCTTTCGTTGTTGTAGTCCCTCTGATTCCTCCTGCAATTTGTTCGGCGCTCCTATGCTTTCGACCGACTTCTGCGAATGCGACAATAACGAAGGAAATGAATTCCTGTTTTCCAACGGTTGTTCTTGTAGTTTTTGCGGCTGCAATTGTTGACTGTGTTGTTGTAGAGTATTGGTGGAATGACTTTTGCCGGCGATAAGCTCATCATTGTTACTTTTAATATGGTCGTTGTTGTTGTTAATGCTATTGTGCTCCCCAATTGTGAGCGTCACATGGTCATTGTTCCGCCTGTGGTTGTCGACCGTTTTGTACTCGCCTCTGCTGTCATTATCATTGTTATCACTGCGCTTTTTGTTCTTGGCCACATCAACTCCTTTGTTTCCATTCAACTCACTAATCCCGTTATTGTTGCTGTGCTTAATAGCCAGAACGTCGGCACCTATGTCGGAGGTGTAAGAAGTTAGTTTTGGACCATGCTGATTGTTTAACTTGGACTCCTTGCTAATCTCGGCCAAGTGCTTGAGGTTACTGCCGACGTTTCGTAAGTTTGGTTGATGCAATGCATAAGAGTTGATGCCGTGCTGCATGCCCATTATCGGTTGGAAGCCATTGTCAATGATGAGTACTTCTGCGGGGCCTTCGCCGGAAGCGAATTCAGCCTCGCGCTGCATGTCTTCGAAAATGCGTGAGCCGATGCCTCGTTTAGCTAGCAGATGCGATAGAGCAGTCATGTGCACATCGTGGCTGGCGATGCTGCCATCTTTGGGCTTGCTGGTATTGTGAGCGGTCCTCTTCGTCTTTTCGGCGTCGGACTTGTGGCTGAGTGAAGCAAAGGCTAAATAAAATTTAGGAAATACAAAACGTGTTCGCATTTTAATAAAAAGCAGTTGACACCAAGAATTCCCAGAGCGAGTGAGTACCTTGATCGATGGCGTGCTCAACAGCGGCCACAGCTTTCTTGGCCCAGGTGTGCTCATTGTGGCTTTTTATGCCTTCTCGATTGTCTAGGGTAGTCGTGGAATGTCCGCTAAAATGCACGTCGGTTGAAGTGTTGTGTATATCCGACAGAAGGTCACTGGAGAGCTTGGTTTTGTTTTGGGAGACGCTAGAGCCGCGCTTGATGCGGCGCAGCGCCTCCGTTTGCTGAAATGTAACTGCGACCAGGGTCAGACCTGTAAATCTTCTGGGGTTAATTACAAAGGCAACCACGAAATACTTACCAAAGCACACGCTGAAGATGAGCAATAAACTGGTGTTGCGCATTTTGCGTTGAATATACATATGCAGTTCCGTTGGTTTGTTGTAAGCTGACGGATTATAGTTTCTAAAAATATGCCTTATTGGCTTGAAAAATATATGTATGTAATATTTGAAATTGATGAGGAATTTTTAGCTTTGCTTTTTAAAGCAAGGAACACAAATTTAAAAGTAGAAAAACAAGTGCTTAAACAGTAGAGTATGTCAGAGGCTACAACGTTTCATGTGTACACCGGTCTTTCGGAAGATAACGGTTCGTGAACATTGACAGGATCTAAGTACAACGATGATAGAGCCGGGGTAATCAGAGAAATCACTGAGTTCCATATACGAATGACCAACTTGGTATATCCTGATGAATGAGGACGATGCATCTTTAGATTTCAAATTGGGAGAAGTCTATTTCTGTTGTTATTCTGTAGTTAAAGTTTAATTTTAGCCTACGGCACATGGATTAGGAGCTTCCATATTACACACCGGACTGTTTACATATAACATAGGATACAAATGTAGCTCTAAGTAATTTTTTCTTGTCCGCATGCCGTTAGGTAGTTTCTGCTAACGTTTCGGAGTATTAGAAACCCATTAGAGCTCATCAATTTTCATACAGTTTTCTTCGCCCTTTAACTTGCGTCCCATTATCGCATAATTTGCAGACTGTGTTTGGCATACACACGAACAACTTCAAGAAAGAGCGCGTGTGCGTATTCGAGAACTCGCTTGAGTAGCGTTCATTCACTCTGCGTTGACCTTGCACTCATACGACACCCCAAGTGGTACAAATATAATTTATATAAACTGGATTTCGCAGCTGACATTGATGCCGTTGACGTTGACAGCTGATTGAAAAAAATTTAGTTGAGCCTTCAAACCTTACCATAAAGAGAAAACAACTACACCGATAATGAAATAAAGCAATTACAACTAAACAAAGCCAAATTGGTGCAGCAAAAGCCCGCAGCCATCATTGTAGGGCTTGCATAATTCTCGCCCCTGCGGCACTGCCTGTGGCCTGCTGTGTCCTTCAAACTTAATTAATTTGATTTTAAGCACCGTTATGCACCGAGAAATGCATCAACATTTTTGCCGCAATCTGAAATGTTTTCTAAACACACACGACCACGCATGGCGGCGTGCATCATTGTGTGCCACTTGAATCCATCGAAAAGTTCTCAAGGATTCGAGTGGATTCATTCAAATTGACTGATTTAGGCGCATAATTTCATGACAGTCGCCCATAACCAAGTGTCATAGGGGCCAGAGTCTCAACTATTGCTGGTGAATGAGTAATCTGTTAGAGAAGACAGATGTCACATTATCGTTTCCAGCTCAACTTTTATTAGTGTTTGCATAAACACATATGCCCATAATAACCACTTTTCTTTAACATTATAGATGGAGGCACTGGTGCGCACTATGCAGAATGATGAAAAACCCGTGCCAGTGCGAGTGCAGAAGACCTTTCTCAGCAATATTCCATCGGCGTTCATGGGTAGGTTTGCCACTTTCAACATTTGCCCGTGAGATTCATGACAGGTTTTTGCTTTAGGCTATGATTTGATAGAGTGGATGATGGACCGCTTGATGATTGAGGAGTCCGAGGCATTGAGCATCGCCAACCAACTTTGTTTGCATGGCTATTTTTTTCCCGTCAATGACACCAAAACACTAGCCGTGAAGGATGATTCCTCGCTGTATCGCTTTCAGACGCCATACTACTGGCCATGGCAGCACAAACCTCCCGACAATGTGGAGTACGCCATTTACCTGGCGAAGCGTTCGTTGCGCAATAAGCAACGTCATGCCTTGGAAGAGTATGAGACTGAAGCATTGGCATCGCTACATAAGAGCTTGAAAGGTAAGTGGGATTTCATCACTATGCAAGCCGAGGAGCAGGTACGGTTGGCGAAGGAACGTAAGAAGGGTGATAAGATCGTCGTTGACTCACAAGTAAGAATCTAAATTTATATGAAATTATTAGCTTTGTTTAACTGAAATTTGGTCAAGCAGGAGCGCGCCTATTGGCGTGTACACCGTCCACCGCCCGGCCAGTTCACACCTCTGGAGCCATGCCCCATACCTTCGCGTGATCGTCAAGGCTTCAAGCCTAATAAGAAGAAAACGGTTGATGATGTGCAACGCGAGGTGGAATATCTACGCAAGTCGTTGAATCGCACACGCATGAAGATGTCACAAGCTTGCGAATCACTTGTGGCATATTCAGAGACGTTTGCCGAGTATGACTTCTTCTTGCAGCCGGTACTGCCCTCAAATCCTTGGGTGACCGAAGATGTCACATTTTGGCAGCTGAACAATAGTTTTGTGGATACACCCACAGAGAAGCGAGTTAAGCGTTGGGCTATCTCAGTAGAAGAGTTGGTTTCCGATCCAACAGGCCTGCAGGAGTTCACAAGCTTTTTGGAGAAAGAGTACTCTCACGAAAACATCCGTTTCTGGATCGCAGTGAATCGATTACGGCGCTCGGCTCACTCTCAGGTGCCGCGTAAAGTTAAAGAAATTTATGAGTAAGATCGGCTATTCCATATTTATAATTTGACATTAAAATTTGGTCTCGTTTCTTACGTATAGAGAGTTTCTGAAACCAGGCGCGCCATGCGAAATCAATATTGATGGTAAAACTATGGAGAGTGTGCTGAAGGGTCTAAAAAATCCATCACGTTTCACATTTGATTCCGCCTCGGAACATATTTACACGCTGCTATTAAAGAAGGACTGCTACCCACGTTTCATACGATCCGATCACTACAAGCGTCTACTGGAGGCAGGCGTACCCCCATCACACAAGAAACGCTTCTTTAACTTCGGTGGTGTGGGAGGTGCCAAGAAAAAGATGACAGCCGCACTCTCCAGTCAACCCAATCTTGGTGACGGCACAACTGCGAAGAATATCGGCGGTGCGAGCGGCTCGATGATGACAGCACCACCTCCAGGGAACTTGGCGCGACGACGGGGCAGCGACCGCAGCCTTACCGGCTCCGCTCACGAGCTGGCTGTGATTGGCGTAAATAAGGACATAACCTCAAAAGTGCCACACTCGCACTCACAAAGTAATTTGAGTGAGATGCCATACAGGTGAGTTGGCTGGGAGATCTCAAGGCTCACGAAATCTTTTGCTAGTTCCACGCAAAAGCTTCAGTTGACATGACTCTTGAGACAAATATGCAATATTCATAGATGTAGCTTTTTCTGCAATTTTAAGTACATACGTTTATAATTATAATTTCCATTAAAATTTTTATGAATTGTTTTGCTAGATTATGTAACTAAAATTTAACGCTAAATAATTATCTAATAAAGCATAAACATAATAAATCTTTAAGTAGCTTAAAACACTATTTAATTGGTTAAACATTTAAATTCAAATTCTCAATCTAATTATCTTTTTCGCATATTTTCATACACAAATTTTTGTTCGAAACACAAATCAAATGCAATCGCCATATGCGCACTCAAAAAAAAAAATATTACTTAAAATACTGGGCAATCCACATTACAATGTTAATGTCAAATATGAATTGGATCTCGAAGCAGTGAGTCCATATATAGAGGAGATATGCCACAACTCCAGGTCACAGATGTCGCTGTTCAAAATTCATCACTCGGATATCGCGAGAGCAGCTCACGTTCGCTTCAGTAAGCCGTTATTTGCTCTTTAACCCAACCAGCATCTCTGATCAACTCTCAACTATCTATCCACTGCTTCAAAACTGATGTTGCTGTTGCTCTACAATTTACCAAACTACAATTGTTGTCAAACTTGGCGTGTTGTATTAACCATATACCTGATAGGGGGTCTACTTTGGACCCTCCATCGCCACTCATCACCTCTATATCGCACATACTTTCTACTAACTTCATTTTTAGTTGCTCGTTTTAATGAATATCTTGCTCCGATCCATTACTCATACACTTCAGTGTTGTGTTTTTGTTCAATTATACTTTATTGATTATTATATAACGTCTCCCCAAGCCGTCGAATCCGTACTAATTTTCTTACTTGATGAAATCACCCATATTTTTCATCTTTGAAATATATAATTGATTTATTTTTTATTAAATTTGTTGTAATTTGGTTGCTATGCTAAATTTTTGAATACTACTTCCGCACTGTTGTAAATATGTGTGTTTGTTTGCTATGGAAATGATAAAACTTGTAAAGACCTAATAAAGCCATTGTGTGCAAGCATTTTCAAGTAACTTTTCGTTAAATGATTACTAAAATTGTATAGGGAGACGACCAAGTCGAAGCCTGCTCGCTTGGAGACCACGGTGGAGTCTTCCAGTAGCGCAGTGTGCCCATGGGATGTGCCTGATGAGCCTCCTGACACACAGGCACCCACGCCACACCAAAAGTCTCAAATTAAATTGTCCATATGTCCCTGGGAGCAGGAAAGCGACCCAGCGCCAAACGCAGCTAATATTGCAAAGTCAGCCACACACCGTCTCACCAGGTATAAAATTCAATAAATAGTTATCCAAACCAGAACATTAATTATCTGATTTTTTTCTAGCACATCTTCGGACAACACTGATGTAACGGATCGCATCCAACGCAATTTGGGTATAAGACATCAGAACACCGTAGACAGCGGCGAGGCAAGTAAACGCCTTGTTCCAAACTTCACCGAACAACGCAGAGCTTCAATGTCCTTCACACAGTCGTAAGTGCCATTTTCGTAATATTTTCGGCACTATTTATATATGTATAGCATATAATTTTATACATCTTGCAGGCGTCTTTCGGAATATCAATTCGGTCAGACATCTGCTTCAGCGAAAACTTCTTCTAGCCCATCGCCAACAGTGGGTAGCCAAAGTGTTGTGGACACTACGCTTTCCACACCTCCGCCACCGCTCTTCACTCAAAGTATTGCGACCATGGCCGCAGTAACGGCAATTAATAGCTCATCGACGATTGTGACGAAGGATCCTCCATCCTCTTCGGATGCAGAGATAGAGGAGGAGCTGAATAAGCTAACTGTATCGCAGAGGAACAGTGAATCTTCAGCATCCGAAATGTGTGCGCTGCCACCACCTACTCCGACACCACCGCCCATTACTAAAGTGACACCCCCTCCTCCGGACGAAAATATTTGCTCCTACTATCATCCAGTTGAGGTAATATCTTGTGAGAGTTCTCAAAGCGATCATTTGTGCGGCGCAGATAGAAGTGGTGGAAGCGGCAATAGCGATAATGGTAGCATTGTTATATCCGAGACAGATGTAGAGGTAGCTGTGCAAGAAGTACAAATAGAGCTAATTGAAAGCTATGACTTTCAGGAAGGAAAAAGTCCGCAGCTCAGCACACCCTCCATACAGATTGAAGAGGACTTAGAAGTTTTGCCAATTGAGGATCCAGTTGCAGGTGAGTTAATTATGTAAAACTTTCAATAAAAAGCCACAATCGTAATGTTTACAGAGCCGACGCCGGCTGAAGGTGATGTTATCGAGGCTGTAGCTCAAAGAACGCCCACAACCAGCCGAGGTAATTCGCGGCCGGAAACGCCAGAAATGGAACAGAAGCTGCTACCAGCTGCCACCATGCCGGACATTTTGCATTCGAAGCAACTGCATGAGTCCACATCTTCGGGCGCGTTATTAGTTACCGCTTCAGCGATACCGCCACCACCGCCACCCATCGGCCCAATGGAAGAGGAAGAGCAGCTACGCGTTGAGGAAGAAATAGCAGCAGCACAAGAGACGCAGGATGAACTTTCACCGACTACAGACGAGTATCAAGAGGGTCTACAATTCGATACCGATGACAAGGAAGACTACGAATATGACATCATCGACACTGACACCCAAGCCGGTTATATACCTCCAGCACCGACGCCGGCGCCATCCATGGCACCACTTGCCGAAATGGATATTGACACCGTAGACGATGAGCCATGCGACGAAATGTGCTCTATGCAGGAGGTGGCGGAAATACCAACAACACCAACGCCAACTGTCAACATGTACGAAGTGTCGCCGACCATCATTGAGAGTGTAATACCAATAGTCACTGAAGAGGTGAAAAAGCGACGAAAGAAGCGCAGTGCCGAAGGCAAAAAGATACTATCCGTGGATGAAAAGGAGCAAAAGGCGAGTACATCGGCCGGTGGAGCTACAGATGTTGTCAGCGGAGCGAAGTCGGAGACTGACCGCAATGCGGTGTGCCCCTGGGAGGATGAGTAAGTGTAGTCGATGAGACATCTTTATAATGGCTTACTAACCATTATTTCGCTATTTCATATTTCAGAAATGTTACAACCAGTGACGGCACTTTCGTGAAGACATACGCCACGCTCGGGTATTTATGAATAAAGCAGAACCTTTTCAAGTCTGTGGTCAACAAAATACTGAAGAAAAAGAAAAATCAAAAGAAATGACAGTTTTGCAATGCAACCCTAAACACATACACAGAAACTTACACGTAATCGTTCATAGACAGCAAACATACACACTTCTGCGCTAGAATGAGCACTGATGGGATTGATCTCTCCTTTGAAGTGCTTTGTTTATGCAAAACACTGAATTTGTTAACATGATTTAGTTTCCAATTTACACAGCAGTAGAGTTGCTCTCAGCCTGCCGAATTATAGCACAAACAAACACGGGCCACATTCACTAAGCCGTCACTAAAGAATAGAATAATTAAATTTATCTGCTATTAGCAATTACTAATAAGACATATATACATATACACCAATTACCTATACATTTACAACTTACACACACATACACACTTATACACTATTCAGGACTATTCCAGAAGAAGAAGAAGGGCTGGGAAGATGATGATATGATGAATTGATTGCTTAAATGTTTAAGAAACTTCAAGAGAATTGTCTATTGCTGAAATAAGAATTATTTAAGTAATTCTCGAAGCCAACCAAGTGCAGAGAAGAGGAAATGTCAAAATTATTAGGAATTTGCGTTACGTAACTATTATTAGTACTTGGAAACTTAGCAATCGGTGCTTGGTAGAATGAGATCATATATTGGATTTTTCTTTGCTTTTGGCGCGGACTTCAAAAGTGATGTGCGGTGGTAGATAGCTACTGAATGTCACCACAACTAGTTCGTATAGACATTTAACAGGCAGAGATGATAAAAATAATTTAAGAAAAAGTAATGCAATAAAGTTCTAAGGAAACGAGGGGGCGAGATTTAGGTGGAAAAGTTGAGTGCTACAGCCGAACAGCGCACGGAGCCGAAGTGTGATGAATTAACTTCAACAAAGAGAAATTTCCAACCGAAAAACTATATTATTTTGAAAGAAGTATCAGGAAGAGAGAGATGCAAAGCGAGTTTAAGATTTGTCACATTGGCGCTTTGCTCCAACACTCTCCCACTTTAGGTAAATGTGAAGGAAAACAGTGCGACAATAAGCAAAATATAAGCGAAACACTACATACTAACAACTATGCAAATTCTAGTTGTAAGCATAATAATTCATTTTTTAATTATAATTTGACTTATTTTTAGCGAATTAAAACATATGAACTTATTTATGATCCTTAAATTAAATACCAAACGTTTATTTACTGTATAATATGCATATGTTAGGTAACATAACCTATAAAAAAATACTTTTAAGATAAATCTCTTTTTTTTTTTTTACAAATACAACTGTAGTCTTGAATTACGTTTATCATTTCCATTACTGAGCCAAAAGTTTGCTATTTAAACGAGAGTATGAGGTCGGCTGACCACAAATTTTCAATCCATGTAATTCTCAATTTCCTGACTAGTACACAAATATTTTTGAAAACTTTTGTAAGAACGCACACCTTTTGTAAAATGATGCTTTATGCGCTTATACCTCGCCTACACATTTATATGCACCCTCCGCATGCATGTGTGTGGGTGGGACAGCTCCAGCTGCAATATCTCGGCGTTCGTGCACACACAACTTTCGAGCCCCAAAATGTATGCAACGAAAGCGAGATACCAACAATGCGAGGCAACTACGGCAACACGGTGGAAGGCCACATAGGAGGCCAGTGCCTTCTTATGACAGACCGGAGCCAAGGCAATTAAAACGATCATTTTACGAGACGACAACCGCTTGGAAAATCAACAGCTGTTAGGGTCATTGAATATACTATTATTAATAAATATAATAAAAATATTGCATGAATATACTACTACGTTACTTAAAATGCACTAACTAAGCAAATGTATCGTTGTTCGATTGTTGGGAAAAACTACATATACATATTGGCAAATTTGGTGTTGCATTTATTCACAATATTCACTAATCAATCCTTACTAGTTGGCTCTTGCAGCCATTTACTTAGGTGTCTGACTTAATGTCATGAATGTTACACAAAATAATGTAAAATAAAACGAAAAAAAATCTATAAAAAAACAAAAACAAAGTAAAAAAAATATAAAATTTTTGAAAATTAGAAAAAAAAATTTTTGGTATAGCATTTAACCTACATACATATATATTTCCAGTATAAAATTTAACCACTTATAATGAAGGAGTTACTAACTGAATGTTGTGTGTTTAACTAAAAAAAAAATACAGAAAATATATGCTTACAAGCATTCTTAGAAATAAGTTTTACTAGTTAACGATAGAGGCAAGTTTTAAAAATATTTGTGTACGAAAGGCGAAAACACTGCGTAGATACCAAAAACCATTCAAGAGCTACTCGCAAACTTTCTAACACCAACAAAAAAAAATATTTTTTTTCTTGGACAGCTAATTTAAAGAGACGTATAAACATTTTTAATTATTAATTTGTTAAATTATGCAAACAAGCTGCCAAAAATTGTTGCAAGCTTTTCTAAGTTATTTAGTTTCATTTTCATTTAGCTTAAGTTTATCTGCTTCACGCATACAAATACAGTCAGTCACAAGTTTGTAGATCACTCCACACAACACACTCCGAAACTCACCTCACTCTCTCACGCACACTGAACTTCAGACTCTCAGAACTACTACCGATTCTCAATCAAAAAACGAGCTAAAGGAAACAAGTAACAATTGGTTGTTGGCTAGACAATTATCTCCCATTAAGCTCACTCGAGTATGTATTTTATTTACAATTACAATGTACTTAACTATATAAAAAGCTAATTATAAAAAAAATCAAAATTAGAAAAGAGTTGGCTAAATTTAAAGGCGATAACTTACTCACACACCTAAAGTGGCAAAATGCAAATATAAATGAAAAAAATCCACAACAAAAAATTATTTATAAAATAAGCAAGTTTTAACTGGAAAAAGAACTTAGAAAAAATTAACCACAACAAAGTAAATGTTGAACATTTCTAAAAATACAGAAAATAAATGAAACCACCGTTCAAAACCACTCACCAAATGAAGCGAAGCAAGAAACCTAAAGCAAAAACAAAACCAAAAATAAAATATATAAATAATAACTCAAGGGTAAAGTAAGAAAAAAAGGTCGCATGGATCCAGCAGAAAGGCAGAAGAGCAGAAATAGAATAAATTAGAAGAATTAGCTGTAGAAATAGGGATGAATGTAGGAAGTGTGGTTGGTTTAGATGCTCGTTAAGAACTCAACCCATTAAAATGCCAAATTATACATTTACAAAAACAAAACAAAAATGGAGATTGTTGAAAAAAGCAGAAAGAGCGAAGAGAGTAGAGCCCGGAGCAAAAAACGAGCGGAAAATATGGATCTATATACTTTACTAAAATATAAGCTAAATTAAATAATTGAAGGAGTAGGTGAATAAACAATACAACTAGATGCAGAGCACTTAAAAAAAATATGATTTTTGTTGTTCGAAATTATTGAAACAGCTGAAGAGTACCAGTACAGTTAGCATACTGCTACGTGATAAACAGAAAGTTATGTGCAAATGCATATATGCCCGAGTGCTAGGAAGTAAGATGGAAGGATAGAAAGAGAGATAAGGAACTATTAGTGAAGAAAGCAAAGGAGAGCCAAGCGAAGAAAACTGCTACGGTTAAGTTGCACTACGGTGTGCTTGGTGGCGCTTGGGAACTCGGAGCAAAATTAAAAATATTTAAATGAAATATTTTCGTTAGTGATAAGCATAAAGAATACAACTAATATTTATGATAGTACTAGTAATTGTTGTTATTGCGTATAATTAATAATTAGCCTTACAAACATGGTTATAAACATATATATTATTAAAGGTGTGGCAAAGCCCATGTAGCATTTAAAGCAGTAATACACAAATAAACAAAGTGAAAGTGAAAAAATTGACAGCAGCGAATAATTGAGTACTAACCACCCAACACAATGCGAAGGAAATATATGCAGCAGGAACAGAGATTAAAACGAACGTAAATTGAAATACAAATAGAAACAGAAAATAAAACAAAAACAGAATACAGCAACTGAATACAGAAATGATAAGCAAAAGAAATTGAAAGAAGACTCAAAACTCTAAATCTAAAAGCCAACAAAATCTCTTTTGAATTGTATTGGAATGTTTTTGCTTACATGAACACACACTATTTTAGCTTACCCACATATTTACACAAACAAATAATACTTTTTAAATCCTACAACTAAAAACTATCTATCTACTTAGTAAGCCAAATTTATGAAACAGAATTACGCATCAAACTCAATAGCAGAAGGACACTAAAAGAGAAACTTTGTCTATTTCCTAAGTCAAATGCGAAAGCAAAAACCGGACAAATAATGTACTCAATATTAAAAAAAACCAAAAACCTAAAGTTGAAAATTGACAAATATAATAGATACGTATAACTTCATAGGTAAAGGCAAATGCATACCCACACAATATGTACATATGTATATGTGCTGTGTGTAAAAACAGAAAATTAGAAAAACTTGCAAAGTAAATGCTTTGAGTAACAAACCAGCAGTAGCGTAATTAAAAATAATAATTTATATACATTTAGATTAGTTGGATCACCATGAAACTAGCTCATATTTACACGAACAAAACGCACATATACATATACATGTACACACACAAACAATAATTGAGACAACTTGAATGGGTCAAAGCAAAACGTATTAACTTAGCGCTATGAAGAAAACACAAAGCAGAACAAAAAATAACAATTGATTGATTAGAAAATATTAGTATTTAATTTATATAAATGTTGATTGATTGAAATAAGGCAAAATAATGCATAAAAATATATAAAACTGCAGCAAAAATACGGAAAACAAAAAAAGCAAGAAGAAATTATTACAAATTATTATTATTATTAAATAAATTATTACGGTAAACAAATATATTAATTATATTGATGATATATACATACATACATATAATGTGACAAAGCATAATGATTGAAAGGAATAAATAAATTGAAGTACAATAAAGAATTTCAAATAAAAATCGGTCGGCAACGCTTCTTTCTTACGGTCGGGCTATTTAAAACTTCTATATACCGAGCTTTTTGTAACTGGTTCATTGTGCAACTGTATTTAGCTGGTTGAAGGTCAAAGATGAATTTTGAATAGTTCAATTTTATGCTTGAAGGAAACTTTCAAAGCTGTTCGATTTGTAAATGGGACTATAAAAGCTTCCCTAAAGGCTGCCAAGCTGCAAGTATACTAACTACTATAGAAACATTAAAGCTTAGTAAGTTTGTCACCTGAAATTCAGTTGGTGTATGTCCTTGCTACTAAGCTTAAAATACATGTCCCTATACATGTTTGCTATGGTTTAAAGATAAGATTATATTGTCTCAGAAAAATTAGTTTTCTTTTATAGTAGCGCTATTTTGTAGAGCTGTTTTATTTATGGTATTTAATTAAGTTATCTAGAAATTTTGAAAAGCTTGTCGAATCTTTATACAGTTGGAATAAAAACGGTAAATTGCATCGTTAATATTTATAATCTCAGTATATCTGAAGTAATATGAACTTGAGTACATAACTACTATAGCTACATTTATATCTACAACTCTCTTAGTTCGCAAATTGAACGTAAAGCCATTAATTAAAACCTTAATAGCATTTCAAAAGCTTCTTCACCTTACTTTTATTATTTATTTTATGCTTCGGTTTTACGAAATGAATCGTAAATATAACAACAGTAAATTTTTTTTTATCAACAATTACTCGGCCCAGCAAACAATTCTGTGGCTTATAAATGCCGATCGTTGCAAGAATGTATCGCAGTCCATCTAAGCTTACATGAGAGCTCTAAATGCCTTATTCTGCAGTATAAAAATGAAATCAAAATACAAAATAGAACAGTTGTGCAAAAAATGTTGAAGCCGTAAACTGCTGGTAGTTTCCGCCAGCCACCGTTTCCTAGTGAAACGCGCGGGTCAGCAAAATCAGCAGGTGCACAAATTCCATTAAAAGCACTGTGCCATGCATGCATTCCGTCGAGAGTACAAAAGGCGAGCTCACATGCTGGAAAAACCGAAACAAGAAAAAAAAACAATTTTGATTGCAAAAATATAAGCAGCACCTTGGGTGTGTTTTCTGGCGCTGTCACAGCACTGTTGAGTCATTTTGTTTTCGGCGAAATCATGCATTTTATCTGTTTGGGCATAAAATAGTTTTATGAACATGAGCAACATAGCACTCAAACATACCCGCATATAGGGGTACATTCTAATTTAATAGTATTATTGATTGCGACTAAAAATGTCATTGCAACGAAACGAATGAAACTGCAACTGTAATGAATGCCACCACTAATGTCATGTAATGACGAGCTGCTCCCTGCTCGTACTTGACAAACAATCCGCCAGTGATTTCATTTCCACTCATTTGATGGTCGTCAGCGAAACACAAGCAGCATTGATGAAATTCTTATTTCCAGCACAGGAGGCTAGAGCAATAAACTGTTAAGCGGATGAACCAGCATAAACCAAAACAAAACAAAATTTAAATGCATTTCGCCTCAAAAGCCACATCTGTCATTTCCACACAAAATGCCAAATTATTTGTCTTCTTCTATCCCTTCAGTGCAGTTAAGTAATTCCAGCAAAAGGTCCAGTTAGCTGCCTTGTATTACATGAGCTACATTTCTTTGATGGCGAGTTCGCTAAACTTCGAATGTAGGAAAATTAAAAATATTAGAAATTATGTATAAATTTTGGCTTTTGAATTTCTGAAGGTGAAACCTTTCATTAGCAAATTACTTCTACTTTCATTCCATGTACTCATACTCCACTCTGGAGCTGCTCTACGGATGACCAACAGTGAATGCTCGTTTACACAACTCGGAACTTTGTATAAAAAAGGACGGGTGCTGTTCATACCTATTTAGTATTTCCGCATTGTCGCTTCATGTGCCACATTCCACTTGATTTGTGTCTTGTTTGGATATGGCAAGTTACAAGCGGCTGGCGAAGCAAAATGATGAATTGACCTATGAATGTTGAGAGTAACGGTATGTGTGTTCTAACTTTGTAGCGCTAGCTAGAGTTGCAACTTTATTAAGCAAATTGTCCATGTAGGATGTGGCGTAATGAATTGCACTAGTGTGTTTGCTTCGTTTTGCTTTTTTCTTTGGCTGAAAGAGGAACGAGGTCAGGATCAGTAGATATGAAAATGATTAACTTTGAAAGAAAAGCTAAGAAGAAATGTAACCCACATGCGGAGATATGCATATTGTAGATGATGTCTTCCGCACTTTATGAAATATGAAGTCAAGAATAAATATAATGTATTGTATGAGTTAATTGTCAAAGAACTCGGACCAAGTGTAACTTTAAAACTAAATTTATTTGCTTCATCAGATCATTATAAATGTAATTTTTTCAGCAACATAATTGGCATTCACTCTACATTACAGATTTTATCCCTATACTACATAAAAATATAATATATTTAGAGCGTTCGGGCTAAAAGCAATAGCAGTTATTAGTTTTATAACTCGTCTTTGAGATTCAAGACGATTTTTCATCTTTCGATGAAAAATTTACTGCGGATGTTAGTCTACTAATTTTAACAGGCTCTCCTCTTTTTCTCCTTTTGTGTCCCCTTTTAACCATCTTAAGGCATTTTTGAGAAAATTTGAACGTTGACACTATAGCCGTAAGCATCGTGTCATGTGTTGAATACAATGCTCACGACAGACTGCAAACGACTTCTGTCAAATATTAAAATACACACGTTCTTATGGACGGACCTATTTTGATAGCTGGACGACTACACGACTGCAGGCCGACAGTTGTCGTCCCCGCTAACTTCAATTTTATCCTATATTTGCCAACGACAGTAGGACGACAGTAGAGTAGACAGTAGAATGGAAGATAGAGAGATGAGGTAGAGTGGTGATGCCACTAATATGTAAAATGTAAAATTACTCAAAGCTCTAACAAACATAACGTTATTTTACAAATAAAAGCATAAAATAGCTCTGTTACATCATTTATAACAACAATTGATAATTTAAAACAAACAAATTTACCTATTTACTTATTTTTTGCTTAAAAATTTCACTTTGAAAAAAATATTAAAATTTCATTGAAGTGCAAGGTATTAGTATGGCCACAACAAAATTGTGTACATGCAGAATGGACAACTGCGTTGTTTTGTGTACATGCCGGCCATTGTTATGTTGCTGCCCCCTCACAAACGTTCTTGTAGTAGGATTCACAACGCCATTTTCAGTTCACTGTCGTGCTGCTGCAGTCTGTAGCTAGCATTGTGTTCCACACATCAGTTGTGCATTACTTGCATGGTGTTTTCGTTTTCGGTTGTTCTGCATACTAAAATTAGCAAAATTATGGCAGCTCATGTGATTAAACGTACATGTTGAGAGCATCTGCCGGCACCCAACTGGCTTTAGCTATAATTATGTGGCTAAGTGAGGAGGCGAAAGCTTTTTTCAAGTTGAAAATATTACAATTTGGTGGAATGGATAGATATTTAAGTAAAAATTGTCTAAATTTTTAATTAATTAATTTTGTTAAAGAACAAAGCCAGATTAGCGTTGCAGAAATTGCATTTCAATTAATACCTTTTTTTGCTAAACATTGCAAGGGTACACCTTGGCGTATGAATAACTTAAAATGCGGACGAAATAAGTACTGAGAAAACATCTGCACTTAGTCAGTGTGGCGCAAAACAAGTTGAAATTGCATTAATTGTGACATCAACAATACTTTTGTATGTAATCGCTGGTATTAGAATACAATCTGAGCCCTTGACTTGGTGTATACCCAAACTTCTATGCTTAATATTAAACACACATATAATTATTTATATATTTGAGTATGTCTACATCTCTATGACCATAGCCTCATTAAAGTGCAACGTGGTTTCTTAAGTCAAGTAAAGTGACATTGCTGTTGTTCTGTTAAATATATTGAAGGTAATTTAAAGCAGGAGAGTAATAGATGTTAATAGTTAAATGAATCTTATTGCTCAGATATTATAAGAAAATTTACAGTACTAGAAAATATGTGAAAACCCGATCAAAAACCTTCACATCATATCAAATGTATTATTGGAAAAGCTTTTCTAAAACTTCCAGTGAAAACAGAAGGTGCCTAAATTTTACCACCAGTTTATGATCCATTGGGATGTGAGTGCTGGGCAATCTATTCAACCGGGGCAATAAATAATTTTCCAATAAGTTTGTTGTTGCTAATTTAATTGCATTCCATTTGTCTAAATGTAATCCCCTGGTATTTTTTATGAAAGTGCATTGTTTTTACCAAGTCCCTCATTCAATAAATTTGTTACTTATATACACGCTGTGTACAAATATTTTCGATACTGAAATGAAATGCAGAACGAATAAATCCTCTAGTTGAAAGGTTAAGTTTGTATTATGATTGTTCTGCCAGAAATCAAAAGATGGGATTAACAAAAGATATTAATAATCATTTATATATTTGAAAAGTTAGTCTTATAGTCTTTGGACCGATTCGAATTTGCATTGTTCAAAAACTTTTCTGTTCCCATATGCCTTTCTCGATGTTCAAATATATACTGAAGTTTATCCTTGGAAAACAAATTTTAACTCGAATTTGCAGATATCAGTGTTTAGTACTTACGATTCGCCGAAGATGGTGAAAGCTGC